CTATGAGTATATATAGGCTGTGGTACAAGAAACTTCTTTCGGGAATGATAGAGATCAGAAAACCAAACGTACAGCAACCGTTACCAAGGGAACAAGGGGTAATGTTAGTCACAAGGTCAGAAGACAATCCACATCTCAAGAAAGGGGAGCGAGACTAAGCAATTTTGTCCTAAAGAGAATGTTTACTAAAGGAGACCCAAGCCTGCCTCACACAATGACCTCAGTCCCTGGGAGCAGAATGCTGTTCCGCTTGAAGAGGGACAGAGGACTCATGAGAGACAGGACGGAGGAATCCTCCCGTCAACCATTCCCTGACAATCCCCCCTTATTTATTTATAATATTTGTAAGAAGAGTTCTGACCATCAGAGTTTGTTTAGTTTTGACAATCTTTGCATGAAGGCAACAGTAGACAACAAATATAATTGTTAAGACAATCACCAAAATTATAAATCTAGACCCAATGCTATGAGTAAGGCTTTGAAACCATCCATGTGTGTAACCCAGATAATTGATCAGCTAATTGTTTAGCTAAAGTTCCCATACTAGTGGAAGAGGGCAGATTATTAGAAAAGGTTTCACATATTTCTTTTTTTGTAATAACTGTACATTCAAGAAAGGCATTATCATATATGTTTTGTAAATGAAATGATTTGTTTCCAGTTGTAGGCACTATTATAAAAATGAACAGGAGTAACATAAAATTGAGTAGAATTTCAATCACATTTTAGCATCATCTGTTTTTGTACATCTGTTCATTGATCTCCAACCCATCTGATGGCTGTTCTCAGTTCCTGTATTTCTTTTTGAATATCCTCATCTATTTGAGCCTGAGTGGCCCACACAGTATGAGCATCTTTAGTCCAATTTTGGATAAAATTTTGTGTTTGAATTGAGGTTTGTAAAGTAATGCTAGTGGTGGCAGCAATGGTGCAAATAGTTATTAATCCTATAATGCCAGAAATCAGCCATCCAATGAATCGTTTAGATCACTAGAGCAATTTAGTAAATAACTGGGAAGCAAGTCTAGCCTTAGGACCTTCTTCCCAGGGCCATTGGAAATTTATTGGTAACCATAGATTATGTTGAGATGGAAGAATCAAAAGGGAGTCATTTTTTAAGGAAATAGAGGAGTTAAGACAAGTATATAATTTACAATTTATGCAAGTTACAGAATGTAAAGTCTTATTGAATTCTAAATTTCCTATAGCTACAACAAAAGGAAGTGGAACAGGCTTGTATAAAATATGATTGATTATAGTGAAAGAAATAATTGCTATAGCTATGATTGGTCCCTGTGAAATGTCTGGTCCAAGTCCCAAGTTCTTCAGTGTTTGCAGCAAGTTTTCAGATGTCCCATTGTTTAGGCCCAATCTGTTGTCATCAAGGATGATTCGAGGACGAGGTGGGGGCCATTCCATTGTCAAGCTAGCCAAGAAGTCCTCTGTCAAGGTAATGTTCCATTGTAGTATTAGTAACCTTCCATGTTACTTGAGTAATATAATCATACATAGTATTGTTAATATCATCTGAGCAGTTCAATAACCACATACTATGGGGTCCCCAATTGACAATTGTATGATTAGCTATAAACATTAATTTTCCTGATTTGGCCTGACATTTGTCTTAATGAACAGGAATACATTTAAAGTTCTTATTAGTAAACCGTTTGCATAATGTTCTTTGTGTTTTTCTTTAATTCTTTTCCTAAAATTTTAGTAGTATAAACATGATTAATGGACAAAGAAAGGGCAGTAAGTAATCTAAGAAGCATCAGAAAGTCCTCTTTTGGAGGCAGGGGGAAGGCCTAAGTTAGTCAGCTAAGGTTTATGCATAATTCTGTTGTGCCCATACACAAAGGAAGGATTTCATAACCTAGAAAGATATTAATTAGTTTTTTTCTTCAGGATGAGAGGGCCCTCCAAGTTCCAAGGAAGGGGAATATGTGTTGACTCATTAGTGGATATGATTGGTCCTATATCTGTCCATTTTATAACCTACAATAAAAAGGGGGGTTAGGTATATAAGCGCAATAAGTGTGATCAATCAAGTCAGCCTGAGCAGGGGAAGCAAAAGTAAGCAAAGCAAGCATAGCAAAGAAAAATATTTTCAGGATTCCAAGGCATTCTTCGCTGAGAAATCAGATTTTCAGTTTGATTAGTAAGGGTTTTTATTTGTCCCCAAGTAGGGAGATCACAAGGTCGATGACGTCGAGTGCGGCGTTTGTTGGAAATTTTTAAAGTCGCCATGGCTTCTATTGGAATTCTTTCTTCCTGGGTTTTTTGCTGTTTCATCTCTAGTCTGAATGCTGGGGGCCCCCTTAGGTTGAATCTTCTGAAGAGAAAGTCATGTGAGCTCGTTGGATCCATCTGGAGAAATAGAAGCATACCCCTTTCCCTGTAAGATTAATTTCTTAGATTTCCATTGAATAGTTAACCCTTCTTGATATCAAATGGGCAAAGGAAAGAAGGTGTCCTTAAATGTTTCAAAACTTCTTTTTTTGTTTTTGTTAAAATATCTCTTTGTGGAAAGTTTAAAAAGTTTAAAACAAATAAGGCTATGTTAACAATAGTTATAAAAAGAAAGGAAAGCCATAATGATGAACACATTCTTAGGAAATATTTCAGCCCAAAAGAAAAAAATCATTCAGAAATCTGTTTGGGACTGTTATTTGGCTGTGGTTTTGAATTAATGGGTTGATTTTCTCTTCATACAATGTACACATTTTTCCTGATATAAAAAGAAATGGGATCTGACTGTGTTGTAAGTGGTTTGTGTTATTTGGGGCAAAGGATTAGGAGTAACCATTCAAATATTTTTTCCTAAGTGAAATTATTGAAAAAGTGATGCAGAACAACTTGACAAATGAAATGTTGCTCACATCCAAATATATTTGACCTTGTCCTTGAAAAAGAAATGCAGCTTAGCAACTGTTGAATCTCCCTGTTCAGTGTGTTAAAGAAGATGATTATACTTTCAAGACAGACCTGAAAAGAAGGTGAATATTTTACATTTTTGATGTTCTTAGGAACAAATGATTTATTCAGGAAATGGTGTCTTATTTTTATGTTGTTTTTGTTTTGTTTTAAGAATCTTACAGATTGGAAACAGAAACAAAGTCATATTAATAGTAGTTATAGACTTAAAGAATATATTACATTAGAATCTAGTAAAGTTTGTTCTAGATAAGGAAGAAAAAGTGTTCCTGTGTATTTCCTCTTATTTAATTTTTTATTTGCAGTTACAGTGTGTAATATGTTTGTTTAATTATGTCTTGTGTTTGTGGATTATAAGGAATGCCTGTAATCTATTTAATAGAGAATGAATGTAAAAATTGTTTGAACTGCTTAGAAATATAGGCAGTAAGCCAATGTTCAGCAATTAATGCTTCAAAATCCTACTTCATTTGGAAATGACTCAGCCATTCAACAAACCTCCACTATTTAGTTCAGTACAACTCCAGAAACCTAAGTCACTCCAATCCTAAGAGATTGTTTTAGATTACAATAATATATTATAATAATAGATTATTCTATTAAAAATATAATTGTTTTCAATAGAGCTTATCTAAAAGTTTTCATGTCATTTATATATTTGTGTATATATATATATATATATATATATATATAAAGAGTTACCTTTTTGTTG